AAAAAAAAATTGTCTATATTCAATTATCTCCTCTCTCACTTTGCAGTTGGACTTCTGACCTTGTCACTTATGTGAACTGCTCTCTCCAAAGTCACCAATGATTTCTTAATTTCCAAATCTAATGGGCTTTTCTCAGTCCTCAACTTTTTTTGACCTTTCTTCAGTATTTGACACTGTTGACCCTTACACACCCCACACTCTCAATAATCTTCCTTCTCTGGTTTTTCAGGACACTACCTTCTATTATTAGTTCTCTTATCTGATTGTTCCTTCTCTATCTCATTTTTACGTTTATCCATATGATGTTCTGTTAACTCTGGATGTACCTCTCAAACTCTAGCCTGACCCCTATTTTCTCTATAGATATTCTCCCTCAGTGACCTCATTAACTCACATGGATTTAGTCATCATATCTGTACTGATGATTCTTAGATCTATATACTGAGCCCAAGCCTGTCTTCTGAATTCCCACCTTGCATCATGGACTGTCTTTGGACATTTTTAACTGAGTAGCCATCTCAAATTCAACATGTTCTAAACAGAATTCATTATCTTTTCCTCCAAACTCACTCTTCTTCCAAACTTCCTTATTTATGTCAAGGGCTACCATCTTTCTTGTTACCCAGGTTTGCAACTTGATCTCATCCTCAACTCCTCATTCTCACTTAACTCATATCTCCATTTGTCAAACCTTATTTCTACCTGCACAATGTATCTTTGCATCGGTCCCCTCCTCTCTGAAGCACTTCACTATTTTTTGGCATGTCTTACCCATGAAAAGAGATCTGGCACCCTGATACCCTCTTTGAGAGCTTTAAAACAAATCCGTAAGTATACTTAAAATTGTTGCCTCCAACACAGATGCTTTTCTCTGTGTTATCTAGTTGGGTCCAGTACCCTTCCTAACTTCATCTTAAATGCCACTATCTCTGCCACCTTCTTGTATATGTGGCAAGATCCCACATGTGTCAATGAGACCCTATCTGTTAGAAGGGGCTGCTCTCCCACATGTAGCATGGGAGTTGTCATTGTGCGGCTGGAAGGAAGGCAGAATAGATATCTCTAGCCTCTTTTCCCCCTACCCTTTGCTAATGGAAACTACTGTCTTCCAGGAAAGGAAGTAGGAGGGCAAAGGTCAGAGGCTGCTACTCTCTTCTCCTCAGAAAGAAGGGACACTAGGTTAGAATTATATTTATCTGCTCCTTTAAATATTATTAGTCTAGGTGATGTAATCAGGTTCAAGGTAACTTTTGATTGTTGTTCATTACCAGGGGAGAAACAAGACCCCAAGCTTTATATTCAAGGCTTGACCTCTTTCCCACTGAATAGGAGTTCTACAATGAACACACATAGTATTTAGACAACACACATAATACTTGTCAAATCAGAGGCAAAACAGAAATCAGAAAAAGCACACAGATGAAAATATACACCAGACAATACAGAGTGAATGAGCTTTCCCATTCAGAGTAAGGTAAGTTAGCTCAACTGAGAGAAAGAGTGTGTCCTAGATTTCAACCAAGGGGAATTTCCCCAGAGTCTCTAGTGTAGCAAAGATAGAGAATATGATGATAGGGATATGATGGAGACTGCCAGCTCCTCTCATGTCTTACTAGAGTCTTTTCCTTTAGAAATCTGAAGTGGAGATGGCCTCATCCATCTTCCTTCTTAAAGCTGGAAGCCAGAAGCACCCAAAGACACTGTAGGATCTGAAATGAATCAATGTTAGATGAAAACTTGAAGATCTGATAAGAACTCAAAGAAGGCTAAAGAGACTAGCTCTTTCATTCTCACCAACTCTATCCCATCCCTCACACTAGAGAGAGGCATTGTTTTCCACTAATAAGGAGAGAGTCTAATACCAATGAGCTTTGGGACTGGGATTACACACAGTACACAAGTTACTAAGGTGGTACCCAATGCGTTGTGTCCAAATGCAGTGATTCTATTATCAAGGCTGGTGAGGTCAGCTTACTATAGAAATACCAGTTCTATTTCATTTCATGTCTGTTTGTGCCCCTGCAAATTTCAGCAAGAAAGATTTTTTGAAAAATGTCAACTTTTATCAAAATTTTCCATAACCATATCTTATGGTAGTTATTTGTTCTTGAGTCTTTCTCAATACATAAATCATTTTGGACACTTTGTATCTTGCCCTTTATGCATAAAAATTTTATATTCCTAAGAAAATGATTTTAATATGTTTATATATACAAAATTGTCATCTTAACAAAAATACTAACAATGCTGAAGAGGATAAAGGTTTAGTGAGTTTAAAAATTAATAATTATAAAAAGAACTCTTTTATTTGAAGAGTAAAAAAGCCTAAATGTATTTAAATTGAGCTTTTCTTTGGTGAATTTTGAAGTTTGATTCAATGACCATGCTTTTTGTTGTGGTTACTCATTATAGCCTTATTCCTTCCTTTCTCCCTCTCTCCCTCCCTCCTTCCCTTCCCTTCCTTCCTTCCTTCTTTTTTTCTGAATAATAAATAAAATTCACTGGGTTCCTTTTTTTTTTCTACCCAGACTTGTAGAGTCAATTACTATATGTTGCCAAAACTTTGGTCAGTATAAATCACCATTTTAAACTACTGCTTTATATTTCTTTTCAAAATCAGCTGATGCTTAAGGGACAGTCAGTAATGATTGATTCAATGATGACAGGTTTCAAAAATAACTAATTCTACTTTATGACTTTGACAGTAAATGTATTTGCAGGAGATAATATGTTTTGAGTCTATGTCTAAATGTTCTTGACCTGTATTACTAAGTTAAATTGAATCTTTTTCCTTTCTTATCACTAATCATTTTTAAAAGAATGACATTTAAGGCCTTTTTCAAGGATTTTAAAATAGTATTTTGGTTAAAAATTAATTTATTAAGATTAGTAGATTTTACTATTACATATTTCATTTACTAATATAAAGGAGATACTCAGGAGAAGCCTGGTCAAGGTTAACTCCTTCACTACTCTGCCTTTTCAGGGCTGAAGGGCTCCTTGGAGAAACGTAACAGATACCGATATTCCCAAATCAAGAGGACCTGGTTCTGCTTTCTTTGTGTAATCCCTTTCTTCTCTCTTTTTCAGCACATTTCTCTAGAGCCTGAGTGTTTTTCTCTTGTTGGGGAGCTTCAACCCAGTAGTATCACCATAATGAAGTCTTATTAGGGAAATTCAAACTCACTTTAGGGTTGGGTTGCTTTACTTCCAAGAACTCTGAATGTTTTCTCCTTGCAGGGAAGAGAGGATCTCAGTCCTGTGATAATACTAGATACCCTAGACGACTATAGAGACCATCCCAAAAATCTTAGTGCAGTTTTAAGCTATTAAAGCTTTAATAACTTAGATGAGCTACTAATTTAATAACCTAAATAAGTTATTAAAACTTCAAGCTTCACTAGAACTTTTGGGATACCCTACATAGATCCTGTTGGTGGTGGGGAAAGGTAAAGTTCCATTATTAAGAGAAGGAGAATTGTCTTGACTATTAATCAATTCAGATATAAGTCTTTTGTGCTTTTAGTGAGATTAAGTGAAGCCTGTACTAAATTTGATGTATGGAAGCTGAGAAGTAATTTCTTTTCTATGGAAAACTAAACCCAAGAGGGTCTCATAAGAGGGAATATCCTTTAGCTCTTAATTACAGTTTTAAGAAAGCCAGATTACCAGCATAGGAAAAAAATGAAAATAAATGCCATTCCTACCATACTTCCAAAAATCCAGCAGTCTCTTTTCTCTTGAGTTCTGGACCTGCATCTCCAAATGTCTACAGAATGTCTTAATCTGAATTTTCCAGCAGTATCTCAAACTCAACATGTCCAAAACCAAACTTCTAAATCTTTCACCTCAGACCTGATTCTTGTTCAGACATGGCAGTCTTAGTAATACCAGTATTCACCCAGACTCCAAAGTATTGATATTTAAATGTTATCTTTGAATCTTTCCTTTCCTTCACCTTTTATACTCAATCAGTTACTAAGTCCTGTTAATTTTGCCTTGAAACATCTCTTCCATTCATTTCTCTTCTCAATACCCACTAAAACCACAGTAGTCCTGGCTCAAATTACCTCTTGCCTAGGTGATTCAATACCTTCCATAAACATCTCCTCTCTTCTCTTCCCCTCTTCTCTCCCTCCCTTCTCCTTCTCCTCACTATCTCCTTCTCCCTCTCCTCCTGTCCCCTCTTTTCCTCCCCTTCTCTCTACTCTTGCTTCCTCTATGTCACTGTCTCTCTGTCTGTCCCTCCTCCATATCCTCTAAGTCATTCTTGTATCAATGTCAAATTAACATTTCTTAAGCACATGTAGCATTTGACCTCCCCCC